TGAGTGCACATGAGCTGCATCATTGTAACTTCTGTGTTGTTAGCCAAGCACGGATGAAAGGTCAATATTGTAAATATATAGAAATGTACAATGTTATGAGATTTGAGCTACTTTGTCTAAACATTTATGTTTTCATGTTATAATTTGTGTTCATTCTAGAATGAAAGATGTATAATTTATGTTTATTTCCTAATTTTTTATGGTGGTTGCGAGATCGGTCAAATTTACCGAACCCATACAGAGATTAATTACTGAAAATAACAGATAAAATATTAAGTTTTTTCTTAAGAAATGTTTGATAACTATTTGGACATTATAAAGATTTTGCATGTGAAATTAGAAGATTTTCTGATACATAAAAGTATTTTTAATGTTAAAATGAAAATTACTTTGTATGATAGATAGACAAGATGTGAAAAGAAAAAAAGGCATGAGAGAAACATTGCTTTACATACTGTAAGACTTAATAAAGAATATTAGATATTTTGCATATGAAAGCATTGTAATGTTTACCGATAAACTGGCAAATTTCATTAACATTTACTAATTTAAAAGTTATAGCATGAAACCTATAACAAGCACAAAATGGTTACGAGGTCGGTCTTTCGGACCGAGCCCGGGTTGAAAGATATAATGAGCCACGTGTACTGTAGACCTAGAAGCCTGTTCATTGAGAAATAGTAATGTTACACCATGAGCTTCTGTGTCTTGTCAGGGTAAGTGAATTAATTCAGCAAGAATCACCAAACCTTATGTGTGAACACGTGGTTTTAGAGTTTAAAAAAATTCCTCAACAATTGTCAAAAGTAATGCAAGGCAAATGCTACTTATTGAAAATAGTTGGGCATGGCTTATTGGTTTATGTGCTAGACTGTGGATTAGAAGATCTAGAGTTTAACACACTTTCAGCTATCAGTGTGTCATAAGAATGACAATCAATCCCATATTTGGTTTAAATCCCATGTGATGGTTGGTACTTCGAATTGGCTGCCTTCCCTCTGGTCAGTGCTCAAACTTAAGGATGGCTATAACTAAACCCTAGGGGTCTCTACCTGACCTCTTAGCCCATGTTTACATAAGACAGTGGTAAGCAACGCCTAAATTAAAATGCAGGCCATACATACAGCCTTCAAGGACTGTAAGACCCCCTTGACCAGTCAAAAGCCAAAAATCATTCGATTAAAAAACTTACTGTATATGAAACACATAGCAAAAAAGACTTCCACACTCTCAACTAATGATCTTAAAAGTATGATATACAAAAAATAAGTTTTATGTTTTATTTTCCAAGCATTGGTGCACCTGGATTTAGGCTGCTATCACATGCAGGTAACTTTATCTCTTGCAAACTACTTATGTTATTAGAAACCATTAGGACTAAAATGTGTGATAAAAATCATGCAAACTGTAGTTTTTTTTCCACATTTCTCTTAATTTTACCATTTCAGATTCAAAATCAGGAGTGTGTATAAATTTGCAGTTTGCAAGATTTTTATCATAAATTTTAGGCCTATTAGTTTCTAATGCTTCACTGTTTTTCAAAATGTAAACTCTATTTCTGTTGTTGTTGTTGTGTTTTTTTTTCTTTTAGGATGCAGGGAGAATAGGTTGCCAAAAGCTGATATAAGGTGGTGTTGTGGCTGAAAATACCGCTACCTAATGAAAATTATAGCATATTTTGACATTCTTCATTTTCTTTCCTTCTATCACTTTTCAGTGGTATCTTGAATGGTATGGAAATACATCAGACAAGTTTTACATACTATTAGTCTCCAATTTTTAAGAACTTTTGTTTTTGTTTAGGTGATGAAGCATCTGAACATTTATTGAATTTGAGTCCATATGAGATGAAGACTTTGGTTCACCATATTCTAAGTGGAAAAGAATTTGTTGTTAAAAGTAGTAAGTTTTTTGCATGCTTATTATCCGAATTTAGTTATTAGAATCATTTACTTCTTTTTTTTTCTTCTAAATTATATTAAATTAGCAATTAGCAAACTTAATTGTTTATTATTATAAAATATTATACATAGAACAATGTCACATTATTTTGTGAAACTATATGTTGGTTAGCTTTATAGAATGCAATATTGAAACATTATAAAGCATTTATAAACTAAACTGTGTGTTACTTTGAAATAATAATTTGTCAGGTTCAATGAAATAAAAAATCTTTTTTCTGTAAATTTTCATTTACTCAGAGTTATGTAATGTAATAAAATTTGTTGCTTTTCAGTTCGAAGTGGGGTTGTTTCAGTGGCCAGCAGTAAAGCTAGCAAAGTGAGTTATCTAATTCTTTTGCTTCATCATATAAACTAATTTCACTTAATACCAATTTTATATTACACTGTTTATGCTTATCTTAGTTTAAAGAATAAACATCTATATAAATAATATGCTTGTGTTTGTATGTCCAGAAGTTTTCTCACAAAGTTCTTGATCAAATGCCACAAATCTCATATCACTAGAAAGGTCTTTGTATGAAGATTCCGGATTGTATATTGACTTTTCAATTCAGAATCACTTTACATGATATTTGCTTAGTCAAACTTTTTAATGCAATGAGTATGCTACATGATGGCACAATGTCTTTGTCATCACATGACAACTGGCTTCGATTTCAACTTTAGTTTGTTTGTTTTTTGCAATGTATTTCACACAAACAACACTTGACTTGTGTTTAATTTCATAGAAATAAATTAACATTACACTAAATACAATTGCTATGGGCTTTCTCGACTTATTTAGGTTTAAAATATGCATGTATAGTTCATTCAAAAACCATATGCTTATCCCTTTGTGAACATGCATTCAAACATTTCTGCACATTCAGCCAAGTTTGCCTTTATTACAACTTTACATTTACTTTACTTTTCAATAATTGGCTCGTTTTGTAGACTGCTATAAATTCATTTTAGCTACTTTTCTTTGTTAGTATGGGTTTTATTTTCATTTTTGTGAGTCTCTTTGTTTCAGGTTTTTAAACCGTGTGATAAAATGAACACTCATAACTGTTTCATACTCTGTACACCATTGTAAATACCATTACTATATTTTATTGTTTACTTTACGTGTAGTTTTATTAAATAAAGTAACATGCGTGTAGTTATATTGAATAATGTTATGTACATGTAGTTTTATTGAATAAAGTTACATCTACATGAGTTTGTTTGTCTAACTGCATAAAAGTTTTTCAAATAGACCAAGATTTATCAAGCTAACACATAATACCTGCAAGAAAGTTTAGCTAAAATACCATGCAGGAAAATGCAAGCAAAGGGCATGAAAACTACCACAAATGTTTTATGAGTCACAGCTAGTAATGTAATATTGTATGCAAATATATGTTGTGTATGGTAGGTTGATGAAATATGCAAGATTTTTTAGGGCTATGATTTTTGTGGCATTGCACTTAACTGCTTTGTTGTACTCCTGATATAGCCATTTTGTGCATCTTCATAAAAATATGTAAGTGTTCAGGTATATATAAACAAAAGTCAACAGCTAGATGTAATGTTATATTATTGGAAACTACACTTTGCCCCTGTAGATCTAAAAAAAAAAAAGGTGTAACACCTAACTGTTCATATACCATGTTTCTGAATGTTTAAACAAAAGGCAACACCTGTGTATCATTTAAAACCTAGTATACCTTGTAACTGTATAACTAAACACAAGTCAATACTTAACTGTCCAGGTATGCTGTTATAAATCAAATAAACCTTGTATCTGTGTTTTTAAACAAAAGACAATACCAGATTGTGCATATTTACTGTTGATAAACTGTCCACATGTTATACTTTGTATCTATTTATCTACACAAAATGTAATACCTTCCTCGACATATTACTGTTGGAAACATAGTATATGGAGGCTGTAAAGTCAGTATGTTTATATGAAACATGTAAAACAAACCATGTGACATATAGATGATATATTTTGCATACATGTATAATGGAGTGCATTCCACTGGTTTCTGGATATGTCACTGCAGATACCACTACAGCAATTGTTCATAATTACTACTATGATTTTTTAGTATTATGTTCATTTTGATGTACATAATGGGTATTGTGTCGTGTCAAATCACTGCAAGATTAGCTTGAACTTTTCTTACATTGGCATCCTTCAGTTGAGCAATGGTTGTGATAATAAAACATGCATCTTTAGAAAGTCCTCTAGCCAGTAGTTAGCAGAGATTAGGTCAGGAGCTTGATGGAAGTTGTGGCTAGTAATCCAATTCTCATCAACAATGGAAAGTATGTATGAGGTGCAACACTACCTTGCATGAATGTGATATCCTTGGATCTATCCAAGCTGTTGAAATACTGGTATAACACAAGCACTTTAACAACTCATGATAACCCCCGAACAGTCACCTGCATGTTGCCCAACCTTAAGGTGTTCACTCCTTAAAGAGCAATAGCCCCAGGATAAAGTCAGCAGTGAAACTGCACTACACAGTAACTTTTGGTAAATGCATACATTGTTCAGCTATATCCGATGGATTTTCACTAGCTCAGATGACACAGTTATAGGTATGAACATGTCCATGAATAAGAGTAAGATAGAACTTATCTATCCAGAGCTTCCAGTGGCTCAGCAGTAAATTTAAGGGTTCACTGGATTTTTGATAGCTTTATGCTGCTTAATAAAAACTGACCATAGGATGTATCAGGGCCAATTTTTCCTCACCTGCAACACATGTTGTGAACTCTAGAGCAAACATGTTTTTGGATTTATAGTCATGTACTTTTAACTCCTCATCATATTGGAAGGTGTAGGTAAACATATAGAAGGTAATATGCAAAGCTTTCTACACAGTTAACTGTGGTAAACAAATTTTATGAACCACATGCTAAGTATAGCTTTTGTTGTGAATGTATCAAGAACCAAAGATTTTAGTAGCACTCAGCATCTCGCTGTTCTCTAATGTTTGTGAATGTCGTGATCTCAAATGTTCAGCTACATTTCATATTGTGCTTATATGCAAGTCTAATTTGTATATGATCATGAGACTCTGTATGTACCTAGCTGAAATGTGTATTGTTAGAAACATAATATACCTTATCCTAGAATATATATATATATTTAAACTGTCAAGATATGTTGTTGTAAACCCTATATATACATATAATATATCTGAATATCTTTGACAGAAAAGTGTTGTAGATAATTTTCTGGGAAGAGAAGGATCAAATGAAGACATTCATTTTGAAAGTGACCGTCAGGGCCAGTGGCTGCGGAGGCGTAGGCTAGATGGAGCTTTGAACAGAGTTCCTCGTGGTTTTTATCCTCGAATTTGGTCCATTCTTGAAAGAGTAAGACAAATTTTAGTTTTATTTTGTAAAATTTAAAACATGAATTAATTACCTGAAGATTGTTTTATCCTGACATAGGCATTTGTATCTTTCATTTAAAAATATATATATATTACAAATGTTTATCTTAACCCTGTACCCATACACACCATTCTTTGTTTTTATACTACAGTGCCAAGGACTATCAATAGAAGGAAAAGTTTTGTCTCAGCAGTTGACTAGAGAGGTAAGACTGTTATTCTCTCCATCCAGGATGTTTGATTTTGTTTTTAACTAACAACTGATTTTTGTAATATCTCAAATCTGAAAGTAATTTTTTTTTTTATTATAAATAAATTGTTTATTTGGTTTTAATTATGCACAAAGCGACACAAGGGCTATATACACGAGTATCGAAACCCGGTTTCTAGCGTTGTAAGTCCGCAGCCATACCGCTGTGCCACTGGGGGGCTTATAAATAAATAAGATACTTGTTTTTTTTGTGTATTTACATATTGTACTTTCAAGAGCATGTTTTATTGTTGTACATGCCCATATAAAAACATACATTTTAGATAACTTTGTGTTCAAATCGAAAAATACAACATAATATGTAAATACTATCAATATGTACATGTTCAAGAGTTATCCAGGTAACTTCGTTGTACAGTCAGTATAGTAGCCTAAACATTTCTATTAGTTGTGTAATTTTATATTTATAATAGCACGGTTGTACACTAATTACCAGTATTTGTAATTTCATAAGCATGATAATGTAAGTATATTATTTGCTATTAATGTTATAAATTTAATTGCAGACATGTAGTTGTAATTAATTACCCTAATAATGTACTTGTTATTATATTACTTAGTTCATTATACTTCCTAATGATATTGCATATTTAGTAAACAATTTTTAACAGTACAGTGCATTGTAACATAAAATGACCTTTTTGGTTTCAAGATGACTCCTGGTGAGCTGAAGTTTGCACTTCAAGTTGAGCATGTATTGAACAGCATTCCTCAGCCAGAGTACCGTCAACTAATGGTTGAGGCCTTGATGGTACTGACATTGGTAGTAGAACATGACTCTGTTCAAGATTTTGGTAGCACCATTAACATAGAACATTTAGTCCACAAAGCTAATCATATCTTTCTGGAAGATCAGGTGAGATACCCTACGTGGATACTCCAGTTTTCAAAAAACCCAAACCCTTGTAATGTAGAAAGACACATGGATAAAGAATCAATTAAACTTTTGTTCATCTTATAATTTAAAAGGCCCATACTTTTGTAAGGTACACATTGGTCAACTTCATATATAGAATTATTAAAAATGTAACAAAAACAAAGCCTGAATGCTTAGAGATAGAGTTTCTTCTTCTTTAGCAGAAATAAAAGTGCTGAAGCTTTTGGGTAATGTTTTAGATTTTTATAATCAATATGTAGAGATCTGTGGTTCTATTTGACTTCAAATTCACTGTAGGTTTGTCATAAAATCCAACAAATAAGCTTGAATCAGACTTAATTGTTTTAAATACAGTACTGAATCTGTATCTCTTATAGCATTTAGTGGTATGGAATCTCTTGTACTTAGCACAGAAGGTAACACTTGCTAAGAAAATACCTTATGAATTTTTACAGTGTCAAGTGGATGGAGATGCCACCCTATGTTGTGCTGTAGCATCAGGACACAAGGTTGCCCCATGTGGTGGAGCAGCAGGAATCTGTCAACATTTCTATGATAGTGCTCCAAGTGGGTGTTACGGTACCATGACATACATGATAAGGGCTGTTGCAAGTACACTGGACTGTTTGCCCCCTAATGTCCTGGACTGTACTATTAGTTAAAACAGATGTTTTTATCACCCACAGGATATTCAGTTGCAGTGACATCTATTAGTAGGAATCAATTTGTATTTATCACTTGCAGGAACCTCTGATGTTTTAAATTTCTAAAGTCATTGCTCCTGAATGTGAAATTTGTATAGTTTCAAATATTAACTAAGTCATACTTCTTACAAATTATTAATTTAGCTACTCCTACTAAGTCAATAAGTTTAAAATTTTAACTACTATTGAGAAAGGGTGATCATATATCATTGTTCTCCTCATTTCAGGTAGTAATGTAAAAGGTATTTGTGAAGTGAATTTAAACTAAGATTAAAGAATCTTATTGTGGCTGGTGAAGAGTTTTTAGTCCTGCATTATAAAGTTGTTTTTTGTTCTATTGTATTTTTAGTTGTCTGTAAAAAATCTTAGTTAATTAACCCCGAGTCCTTATACATAATCTGGTTATATTAAAGGTACTTCATAAAAAAATATATATATTGAGTGTAAAGTATACCAAACAAATGTTAGTCCTGCTTTTTTTTTAGGCACGTGCTGAAGTTATATTTTACTCCTGTTTTGAAGTACTATATGCTTGTTGAAATATATATTTTGACCTGTATGATTAGAAAGCATATCCTTATTTAACATTAGAGGAAATGTTAACAAAAAAATTTTTGCGCATGTAATAAATTTTAGCATCATATTAGGTTGTGATTTGCTTATCTGTGAAACTCAGTATAAAAACATTGCAGCATTTGTTTCGAGATGGCCTGCAAATTTATTGAATAGGATTCAGGTTTGTCAGGTTTTAACAGTATGTTTTGATGTTGTCATTTATAGTTATTGCTCATTGTGGCAATATAGTATTTATTGTAAAAATAAATAGTTAAATGCAAATGTTTTGATTCTGTAGTTCATATCTCAGATGAAGTTACATTTTTATTTTCTGTTTGTTCTGTTATTTGGGTTAGCAAAAATGTTATAAATAAACAATCCTATTGGTGTTGATCATTTCTGTTTTACCAACCATGTATTAGCAAAAGAAACAAAACCACAACTTACGATGGAGAGATGAGTGATTTCTATTATCAAAACAAAACTAGTTTTTGCAGTATTACGAGTGTTTATTGGATTTTAATCTCATTTTATATAGAAAGGTTCCCTTCATTTTTTTTATAACAAACTGCTTCTTATTCAATGTTGAAGTAAAATTATTAAATATTTGCTAAGATTTTATGTAGTTATAACCCTTGTACATTTTTCATTTAGAGTTTACGCTGAGGAAATGAGGAAAGCAATCCTGATCAGATGCTAAATAATAACTATGTTGTAGGTTATCCTTTTTTTGTTTACAGAATTTAAACAAAACACCCATTCTGTATTGTTCCTTAGAGACTAAAATCTAATCAACCCATTATATTTAATTCATGTTTTGAGGAGAGGTAAGGAAATAAATCATGTTATTTAAATTTCCCAAGTTACCTGTTCCGTTTTGTTTTTGAATCACTATGACTTTTCAACTTTTGCTGCTATGAGCATTAGGCTATTTCTTTAATGGAGGCAAATTATAAAATGATTATGACAATAGTAATGTTATTCATGGAAAGGTGTGAAACCACGTAACATTATAGATAAATATTTCTCAAGCATGATGAAATGCTTACCAACCATTTGAGCTCCATACTGGAGAAAATCTCTAGTGTTTTATAATTCACTGCTCTTTCCATATCAGCTGATAGCATCTCTTGTTTAGGTTTAAACTTAATGATTTATACTTCAACAATTTTTAAAAAATCACATTTCTTAATAATCAACTAAAATGACTTGCAGGGTTCTTCTATCAATTAAAAAAAAAGTACAAAATTGTACTATATAACATATACTTGGGTAGGCCATTATATCAGTATTCTTAATAATTACACTTGGACAATTTGTTGACATTAGTACTAGAGCCTTAAAAGCAGACATCTTCAATTTTATGGTAAGCACCTAGTGCATCGTTATTTTGCTTTTTCCTATTGTATGGCATAATATAGAACTAATAAAATATCACTGTCTTCATATTAATAACATTCCAGTGTGTAAAATAAGAAGCAAGCAAATGCTCTAATCATATCAGAGTTGAAATTATATCCACTTCTAGTTTAATTATTTGCTTTTGTTTTATTAATTTTTTCTAGTGGTGTTGGTGTTAGTGCAAAAAATTGCTGAGGTTGGTAATGCATTGTCTAATTGGAACCATCTATTATTGATCTGTATATTTCCAAAAACAGTTGTGTACATATGTACTCATCTATAATCACAGGAAATAAAATTTAACTGTAAAAATACAGTGCTTTGTAAAGTTTTCAGACGTTTCTTTAAATATTTGTCACTATACTTGAGGGTAGCCATAATTTCACAGTTAACTAAACTGCACAAAGAATATTTATAAAGACACTATAAGAGTAACATATGATTAAATACACTCAATGTATATCATAACAGACATAAAACTAAAACCCAAAGTAAGGGAATACATTTAACCATATCTGAAATTTACAAACTGGGCTTCATGACGTTACTATCCACCTCTTAAGCTGAAGTTTAGCAACAAATCCTGTGCCATCTCAGCATGAGAAAGGTTTGAACATATAAAAATAGATTGGAAAGGCCCATATAAATGTGTGTATATATATAGGACAATATACAAGATTATTTTTAATTATGATTTATTGTATGTTCAGTTATCCACCTGATACCTGGCTGTTACAAATAATAAACTGAAAGGAAATATTAAAAGTGTTATCCACAACTTAAAATAATACCCGGTATTCTTAACAATGGTTTAAAAATAATGTACATGAGGCCTAAATCAAAGTTTAAAATACCCTGTTTAGCAAGTTCAGTATTTTTGCCACACACACACACTAAACTTCTTCCACAGTGGGCAATTAATAGTCAATATACAAAAAACTGTGTGTACAAGTCTATATCATATTAACTTGGAAATAAAATATATCTGAGCAAAGACTTCCAAACTTTATACACTGCACAAGAAAATGAGCATATTTTTTAAAAACTCAACATTACACACATAGATTTAATGTTAAACAAGTTCAAATATCACATAAAACTACACGTAATAATTTAACTCTGTTATGATATCAAAGCTAACAGACATTTTCCCCTCTAAACAAAAGGTTTGAGCATGACTTTTTCTGTACAGCATTTATAGAACATCTTCTTTACACTGAATTTTAGAATTAAGAACACTACAAACAAAATTTTTTGATTCCAATACTTAAAACTGAATACAATTAATGTATGCAAGTTCACGTGGCATGAATTTAAGAGAATCAGTCTCGATTGTTGGTACCTAAACTCAATACGCCAGATTTTATCTGTCCATAAAAATCATTTTGTGGCATCAAAGTAATTAACTATAAGTTTAAAGTTACCTTTGTTACAATACAGTGTGGTTTTCATTACAGAACAATTAATCTTCATCTGCAAATTAGATATCTTCTTGTATAATGTGTGTGGTTACTGAATTACATAGCTTAAAACACTAAATACCCATTATCAGAATCCTTGGGTTTTGATGAATATTAATTTTTTTAATAAACAAGAACATAAAAAACAACCAAATATTCTAAATTTGTGAAATACAATAGATATAGGTAAATGACAAGTCAGTACCATATCATTTATGTACACAAGTGAGTGAAAATATATATTTGCTCTCCAGGCACACTCAAAACCTTTTTTAACTTTCTACCCAACATTTTCACTCTAGTTAATATGACAGCAAAGTCCCACTAAATCTTTCAACTTCAAAACATTTTATTCAAAAACAAAATGATGATTCACTATATAACACAGTGCTATATTTAGCATAGTCTGCATCTAAATTTTACAGTAAAAGATGCTCTTTTTAACCCGTCTGCATGGCACAAAACACACACATCCAAATCTTGGTAATCACTTACTTGGAACATTCACTTTTCTTTCAATGTTTCTGCCAAAGTACACACTTCAATAAATAAATGAAAAAACGTTTTGAGGTGTCATACCTTTGACTTCGAAGTAAATAAAAAATCAATTATTTATGTGTGTTACTCCGATTTTCATGTTCTTGTCTGTTAGTATATTATCACATCCTTACCATTTTTTAACAATTTCAGCTTGAATCATGTAGAGCAAAAGTTTAATAAATGTTTAGCTAATATAAAGTATTCCTTAACACGGTTTCAGCTTCTTATTTAATCAGTTAAAACCTAATTTCTATAAGATGATAAGTTACTGTAATGTACAATGTCCAAAGTTCATGACATTTTTTAAATAAACAATAATAAAAAAATATACATCAGATTGTCATTTTAATATTTTTTCAAGTAAATGCCTTCTTACCCACATTGTATTGTATAATTTTGAAACCTAACACATAAATCAATACAAGACTTATTAGGAATTTAAAAAAAACAAATATTCGGATACAAAATTTTTGCATTCTTTTATCACTGCATAAAATACCTTCACATTTAATCTTCCTATTTCAAATAATGGAAAATCTAAAAATAGGTAATTTTGGGAGTTGTAAAGAATTTAAATCACGAAAAATCATAATTGTAACTTAAGTAGGTTGCACACACTTAAATCTGTTCCTTAAGTTTCAATGCACACTATTTTCATATAAATTCATCAAAGCTAGACAATAGCCAAAGCTAAGCTGTTTTCTTGTTGGTGAATAAATTTTCCATGTTAATATAACAGCAACAATAATTCTAATACAACTCTCACTAAGATTTGCAAACATGCAAGTTTCATGATATTGATGACACTGAAGAAATTACTATTTGTCTCTAACATGTGTGAGGAATAAAAAGATTTATATTCATTACTTATCCTACAAAAAAAAGATATATCTTTAGCCATCATTAGTATAAAGAATTATTATTATTTTTTTTTTACTGTGCATTCCAAATACTGATATTATGAACCTTTACTAATCTTGGGAGTTTATAATTAAGAAAAAAAAAAAACTGGTTTTTATTTGGTCATAAAATTCACACTTTTTATGAGATATTTATGCAATGTATCATTTTCTCACTCACATATCACAATAACATCATCAATAATCTTACATAGGTACATTACTAAACAGATAAGAAACACTTTCTCCATTGTGAGTTCTACGAATAGCTTCAGCTAGGATCATTGAGATGTCAATACACTGAAAGAGAAACAAAATTATTATATGCATACTTTCTGACTAACTTTCTTAAATGCAATAACTTACCTATGTGTGTGAATTAGAAAATAATTTTCAAAAATTCTCTCTACTCGCACTAGACATAAACCCATATGAAACTCATAATACAAGAATAGTGATTCTGATATTAAGTTGATTATGTGTTTTATTTTGTATCCTACACAGTCTATTAGTGGCCAGGCAGAAAAATGTGGTTAGCCAGATGAACCCTTTAAAACTACTAAATAATAACTTATTAACAATCAGGATCATATCACTGAAATATATATTTAACAGTAGAACCTAATATCTAGAAGGACCATTCCAGTTTTCTCTACAATTGTCCTGTAACTGGCAAGTATTTTTTCTGAAACTAAATTTCATGATGAGGAACCCACTTTTAGAAAATAAATTTGGAGACAGCTTGCATGGGTAATGAAAGAAACTTTATTACAAATCTGTTATTGGTAATAAAGTTTTTTCATCACCCATTCAAGCTGTTTCCAAACTTTATATTCTAGAACTAAGCTCATTTCCTCTCACCTTATTAAACTTTGAGCTGTACAAGTAACAAAGTGTACACTAATTATAAAATACAGATGTACCAATTAGCAATTTGGCTTGTTACAGATTAATCAACACCTATTTCTAATTAATTCAACAGAGCCAGCTTGGTGCTCTGTGCAACTACAATATTAAAAAAATGGGTAACTATATAACCATCTCGTACAATTTCTTTGGTTATAAGCATACTGGACTTTATTTACGTGGTGATTTGACTGAAAATGAACAATTGTAGATGATTTTATTTTTATGGTTTAATATTCAATTTTAAATACTTAAGTATCAGAAGGTCCTGAATACTCAAGTTTAAATAATTCCTTCAACATTCTAATTTCACTTCCCTTAAATCCACTTATTGGAAAATTATATCCACCATGAAAATTAAATTATTTGTGGAATATTTCTATATGCTTAATTTTTCATAGACTAATGAATAGTTTAAAAAAAATATTTTTTACATATATGGTCCATTGTTAATAAACTTTGTAATATAATCATACTGCTTTTGATTAAACTGCACTTTATTTTATAATTCTTAATTGAGTATTTTATCAATAAAAAGAAAAACAAATGTATTGATTTCTTATTTTTACCCACTTTCAGAGTATTTGGTGCAAATTATTATCTATTAATTGACACTCTGACCAATTAAGTCAGTTACTGATTAATTGCTAATCAACACATTTCTCATTAAAGATATGATCTTCAGATTTTTAAAACATAGCTTTTTTATTTTGTTCATTGATATAACTGAATATAATTACTTATTTCATGATATTGGTTATTTTTCAAGTCGGTCAATTACAATCATTAGATCAGCCAGAGAATAATATTCTATATAACAAACTACATGGAAAAACATACATACTATATGGCTAGAAACAGTAATTTAAGAAAGTTTCAGTAATCTTTGTAACAAAATATACAGATTTCAAGATGACGAAAAATATGTTCTATAAAACAAGTAATTACCAACAACATTCACTTACCAGTGCAATAACAGTTACATTTTCATAATTTTTACAAAAGCACTGGCTGACATAATACACAAACTCTCCACATAGTATTACAGTTTCATGTTTCACTCAATGTTTGTATAAGTGTTAAGTTTTTAAACTGGTTCTAATAAATTCCATTTTTATATGACACTGAATTTATATGAATAATAATTACAAGAAAACCATCAGAAGAGGTTTAATTTTCTATTAAATTTTATCAAGCATTCTATACCTGAATCTTCAGACACTCCTTCATATGTTCTTCCTGTGGTATACTGTTGGTAACTACAACAGCCTCAAAGCAGGCATTGTTAATACGTGATATAGCTGGACCAGAAAATATACCATGAGTAAGGATAGCATACACTTTACGAGCCCCAGCTTGCGTTAATCTATAGAAAGTAAATAGACTTGTAATTAAACTTCAAGATATTTGTAATTATATAGATTGGCTCAACAGACCAGTTAATGGTTAAACTTGAAACATCTTTAGAGATGGCATTCAAAAAATTCCAAAAACCTCTCAATGTTTTTCATATAAGATAATTTCATAAAATTATTGAAACTTCTAAAAATACTCAAACTTCAAGAAAACCGAATGATGTATTATAATGACTCTTGGCAGGTTCTAAAGTTTTAAAAGTCATACTCGTAGTTTATGGGAAAAAGATAAATTACCTTGTAAAAACATACAAATTAATATATTTTTCTAACAATACATTTTTTTTTAACATGAGTGTTTTTGTAACTCAAAGTTTTGTACAGAATTAATTAAAAACATTCAATACAATTGTGTAGGTTTTATGTAATGCTGACATGTAGATACATTACACTTGCATTTAGAAAATGCCCCTCTCCCTTCAAAAGAAACAAAAAAGAAAGGTTTTATTATACAAAAAATAAAAGATATGCTCACTTTTCAGCAGCATGGCATATTGTTCCACACGTATCTGCCATATCATCAACAAGAATTGCCACTTTATCTTTCACATCACCAACTAAAACCATAGAAGCTACCTCATTAGCTTTTTTTCTCTCCTTGTGAATCAAGGCAAATTCTACATTCAGATGATCAGCAATAGCAGTAACCCTGGATGAAAAAAGAAAGTTCTACTTCTCCATTACAAGTAATGACAATTATCATCAATATAAAAAGTCACTGCTACACAAGTTATACTTCTCCATTACAAGTAATGACAGTTATCATTGGTATAAAAAGTCACTGCTACACAAGTTATACTTTTCCATCACAAGTAATGAGTTATCACTGGTATAAAAAGTCACTGCTACACAAGTTATACTTCTCCATTAC